GTACCAGCCAGTCCAGTCCAGTCCCGTCAGTCCACTGGGGTATACCCCAGCCATTGTCTGTTTTCAGTCTCATTCCTTACTTGCACATTTTGGAGTACGTGCGTTGGAGTCTTGCGTGGGGAGCTGCGTTGTGCCATCTTGCTCCCCCCCTTCTTCCTCCATCTCCATCTCTATCACTAGCGGAGCACCACACCTGGTGGGTCCGCTACAATATTGATGTGGAACTTGAACTACGACGGGGTGCTTTCGCAGATAGATGGTGATGAAGGGTTGTGTGTGATAGCCTGATGAATTTGAAGTTGCAGAGAACCRCTGGTCATAAGGAGAGGGATGAAGTTTATTTGCCTCATGAGGATTTCAGGATATTTGAGGGGGTTGATTTTGCGAGTGGCTACGGAGGTGCAGAGGGATGGATGGGTCGATAGATCCTGATGGAGTGGCGCAAGTGATACAATCAGTAAGGATAGGTGGCGCTGATGGTCTGAGAAGCCACTCTTCATTTAATGTAGCAGATCAAAAATCCCCTTGATAACTTGACGGCGCAATAAAGTTCMACGAGTTGTGTTTTCCTTTTGCTTGAATAATTTCGTGATGAGTTTGGGGACTGATCGTTCATTGTTACTTCGAGTCAGGATGTGGTGCGGGGTATTAACACGATGGTGAAGACTTCCTGCCAACGAATCTTCCAATCGTTTTCCTTACTTCGTGTAATTGCTTCCTTCAGTATCGTGTTAAACTATTGATTCTTGAATGGTTTATCCTTTTATGACTTGTAGGTTTGGATCTGCTATGAGCTTATTGTTTGGATGTTCCGATCCGTATATCCTAGGGTTGTGCTTTTTTGAAAGTTCTGCCGGGGTGTGCTATGGTGGGTTTTTTATGATTTTTTTTTGATCAATTGATGGTTTATTGATGTATTGATTAATATTTGTAATCTTCCGGCGGACTTCGCAAACGATAATTGGATGAATGGTTGTCCATTTGCATTTGTCTCGTGGTTGTTGCGCTTATGGTTTCTCTTGGTGAATGATGCTTGTTTTTGTCCTGACATGCGGCCTACGTTTGTCACCAATCCGTCCTACCTGTTTAGCGGTTTCCTTTCATTGGTTGCACTAAATTTGCGAATGCGCTTTGAGGTGTTTAGTGGTCGGTTGAAAATCTTCTGTATTCCAAGCAAAAAAAAAAACTGGGGAATTCAGTTTTCCCGTTCCTTGATATCCATACATATCGGATCTACGAGTGTCATAATAAGCCATGGCTGTTCTGTTTCGTTTGTTGCGCGATTATTCGCGCGGTGGCTTCCTGTTCATAACAAAACACACGCACACACACACACACACACACACACACACACACACACACACATACACACACGCACACAAACACACACACACACACACACACACACACACCTATGTATCACCCGCGGTCATGACCGCGGGCCATTTTACCGCACGCGGTCATGGTCATGCCCACGGGGGGCGGCTGCCCCCCGTGGCCAAAGAAAACCCATGATTTGTGAAAAAATAGAATAATACACGAAAGAAAAATACCTTCCTGGGCATGCTTGGCGCCCGCCACCTAGTAGAGATAGACCACTGGATCCCCCGATCGGCATTGAGCAGAGTCTGCTGATGTTCGTAGGGGAGGGGACCTGAGGGGAGGCACAGGGATTGGTCCTGTTGGCATGGTCCCTGATGCTACTGGCTGTCCCCTAGGCGGTATGGCCCACCTGCAGGTCGGGAGCAGCCCCCGCATGTTCTCTCGTGAACACGGTTCTGGCTGCTACGGGGTTCCCCGTATGCCTACAATTAGGAGTAGTGGTAGGTAGGTAGTGTGAGGTGAAATTGAGAGAAGAACATAGCTTGTTAAAAAGGAAATATATATATATCGTCAATATATATATATGGGGTTGTCGGGTTTACAATTCCCTACATCCCCATATTTTTTTTTGGGATTTTAATGCTTTTTGGGAGTTTTAAAAAATAGAAAACGAAAAAAACAAGTATTAAAATCAAAAGAATCACAACAAAAAAAGGGCACCTTTTTTTTTCATTTTTTTCTGATTGCTGGTGTGTGTGTGTGTGTGTGTGTGTGTGCGTGTGCGTGTGTGCGTGTGTGTGTGTGTGTGTGTGGGCCCGCTGTGGTATGAGGGAACGAGAGTGGACAATCTAGTTTAAAACTAGGCACTGTAGTATTCCTAACTATTTTGAGCCCCTCTGATGAGGCCGTTACTGGCTACGGCGGAAACTGGTTGGCGATATGCGAGTTGCGCTCTGCTCTTGGACTTCGAAGCTTCACTCCTTTCTTTGCGGTGTGAGCAGTGGCGTCCGCCATAGCTTTGCTATGGTCATCAGCTTCGTTGTTATGTCTTTCAAGAGAATTATTCGGGATCGGTTATCGCACAGCTTGCGCCGTGGTCCACACGGTTGTGTGTTCGGCTGCGTCAGTTAACACTGTCTCCTGTACTTTACTTACATATAGATAGTGAGAGCTTACATATAGATATAGAGAGCGGATGTTGTGAATAAGTCTGGAGAACAGATAATATTGAATTTGTAAAGAATTTGGGGGCTCTACCTCTTCGATTTTTTTTATTTGGTTGGGGGAAGGAAGGAATTCAGCTGACGTAGGTTCCGTCCACTGTTCAGGTTGAGGATGGGGTCCATGTCGGCGAAGGATGGCCGTCCCGCCCATGACGGTGGTGCCGCTTGTCCTGTCGACATGACCTCAGCGACTATGTCGGCTGACCGTAGAGGTGCTTTCGATGGCACTAATCATGATGGTCCATCAGATGCAACGTTGTCGGTTACGTTATCGACCATCGTGGTGGACTGCCAACCGGCGGCAAGTTCCAAGCGGTACACGATCGATCAAGTGCTGGAACAATTTGTCGGCGATTTCGGTAGAGCTCAGTTCTGGCAGTTCGTGCTCATCAGCTCAGGATGGATTCTGAAGGCCTTTCATACCTTCGTCATCATTTTCTCCGATCGGGATCCCACATGGACTTGCGTTGATGACGTCAACAGGTGGTCGACGATGACGGCAACTTCGGGGTCGTCCACGGCAGCGTCGGCAGGGGGAGGATCCGGATCCCGAGGCGTGTGTAATGCCTCGTCGGCTTCTTCAATCTGTGAACTGCCTCCCGGCACGTGGCAATGGACCAATCAGAAACGTTCGACGATCTCTCAGTTTGGCATGGTTTGCTCCAGGGAGTTCGAGATCGGCTTGTCGCAGTCGGTGTTCTTCTTGGGTTATCTTACGGGTGCGGGCTGCTTTGGTTCTCTGTCGGACGGCCGGTTGGGTCGGAAACGGTCGCTGATGCTGGGTGCCACCGTGGCCGGCGGGTTCGGCATGCTCACGGCCTCCTCGCCTTCTGTCGCTTTCTACATACTCTTCCGGTACCTCACAGGCGTCGGCACGGCGGGAATCAGCTTGAACGCGTTTTCTCTGTCGACGGAGACCATCGGGCCGCGCAAGAGGGGACGAGTGGGTACATCTGCGCGGTACTTCTACGCTATGGGCATGATGGTTCTACCTCTTTTCGCGCTCCTCGCCTCCGATTCCTGGCGGATGGTCATGATCATCACAGGTATACCCTCGCTGCTCTTCACCATTCTGTGCGGCTTGCTTGCCTACGAGTCTCCACGATGGCTGCTTGTTCACAACAGGGAGGAAGAGGCCTTGCGCATGCTGAAGAAGCTGGCAAAGAAGAACCGGTCCTGGATTCCCGACTACGTTACGCTGAAGTCGGCGACCGCGGTCTCGAAGGAGACGGCTGCTGTCAATGCCACTCCCGATTCTGCCCTCCAGGCTGTTACAGTACGGGTTACGTGTGATTCTTCCACTTCTTCTTCGTGTTCCGACGAGCCGGTCTCTCGCACCGATGCTTCACTGCCTCCCCCTGCCGTTCCTTTCTCCTGTCGTTCTTCGATGCAAGCGGCCACCAGCTCTCTTGAAACCGAGGCAGCAGCGACGTACCCCGGGCCGGAAAATCTGGACGTCGACAGCCATGGCAAGGGGAGCCTACCGGTGGCCACCGCCTCGGCGTGCTCTTCAGAGGCGTCAGAGGACGTAACAACAACGCACATCGCCGGCAATGGACGTGATCACTGGCAGGAGAACCAGCTCCGGAAGGGTACACTCCCAGCGCCGAATGAGGGGAACGAATACTCCGACGTTGAGGGGCGTCGTCAATTCCTGGAGATGGAAATGGATCGGGATCTGCAGGAGGGGGAGGAGTCTGAGGAGGAGAACAAGAAATGGGAACACGAGGAGGGTCGTTGTTGCAGCGAGAGTAGTACTGAGAACGCAAGCGTGCCATTGCCACCTCGGATCGATGTACCGCATGACGTATGTCATGAGTCTGTGCACGTGTCCGGCAAGCTATCTTCTGCAGAGCATTCTTCTGATATGGCCCTGCCTTCTTCTCTAGGGAATGCCGAGAATGACGCGGGCGCAAACGACGGTGGCTTGCCCTCCTCCTCTTCTCCGGCCGTTGCAGGTATCAGAAAGCCGGGTGTTAAGTCCTTGGCCGAAACGGACAGTGGGAGAGCGAGCGAGGCGGCAGCGGGAGTGTCCTCGAGAACCAAGAAGCTCAACGCCTCAGCGTCCAAGGAGAAGGTCGGATTGCGCGATGTGTTCAAGTGTAAGGAAACGGCGAAGAGGATGGTGTGTATTGTGTACATCTGGTTTGCATCTTCGATAGCTTATTATATATCGAGTCTGAACCTCGGCAATCTCGGGTCGAATATATACATAAGCACCTTCTTCAATGGTTTGGTGGAGGTTCCTGCCTTCGCTCTTGGAACGTTCTTGATCTCGTTTTGGGGCCGGCGGATGTTGCTTTTCGACGGCCTGGCAGTCGCCGGGGCCAGTGCGGTGATCGTCGGGTTGATGCCGCTTGCCCTTGGACATGACGTAGTCAGGGGATCAGGCGCCGACTCCACCGTCCGTCTGGTGGTGGCTCTGTTTGGCAAGTTCGGCATCGCTTTCTCGTATAATGTTCTTTATCTCGTCAATTCTGAGTTGTTCCCCACGGTAGTCAGGAACGTCGCCAATGGAACCGGATTTCAAGCGGCCCAGCTGGGAGCAGCCATCGCTCCGTTCATAACCGTTCTTGGAAGGACCAATCAGGTCATCCCATCGATGATCATGGCGCTGACGAGTTTTTCTGGAGCCTTCGTCAGTCTTTTGCTGCCGGAGACGTTCAATGAACCACTGTACGAGACAATAGAGGAAATGCCGAAGAGCGCTTCAGCTCTCCGGACTCTGCGAAATACCTTTGTTTGCTGCAAAGAGTGCAAAGCAGCTGGCTGCAAGAGGGGGTCCTGCAAGGGGAACGACAACTTGGAGTGCAGCAATCGGTGTTCTCGTACAGCCGAATGAATGACAACGAGTTGAATGAGAGCATACGAAGGAGGTAGGTCAGACTCGCTCAAGGTAAGTTTTAGTGTCCAGTCTTTATTATCGTCTAAGTTCTAGCGTCAGGGGGGGCAGAGGATAGTGACTGTGGTCACTGTGCAGAGTACAGAGTCGCAGTTGTAAAAATGATTGCAGGTCCGGATCCTCTTCTCTTTTCTGTCTAGGAGGAGGAGGAGGAGGAGGAGGAGGAGATAATCAATGGTCGGAGTTTTTGTAAAAATGATTGCACGTTTGGATCCTCTTCTCTTTTCTGTCAAGGAGGAGGAGGACGAGAAGGAGGAGCAGGAGGAGATAATCAAGGGTACGGGACTGTGTTTGCAAGCACAGATGGTCTGCACAGATTCTGCAGAGATCGTTCGGTCGGAGGGTGAGATCAACAGACCGCCAGCAAGAGCTTGCTTGCTTTCGACACGTGGCGACTTGTCACAGGTTCGCTTTGGACACGTGGCGACTTGTCACAGGTTCTTCGTTTTGGACACGTGGCGATTTGTCGCAGGTTGTTCGAAAGTGTGCCGGGGTGGTCAATGATATAATTTTGGTTAAATTGGCTTTTTTTTGAAGTGGTGACTGTGTTGGCTTCGGGGTTTATTTTCGATGTGGTCGACACCTAGTCGACCGGCAACGACCCGTTTCGGTCAGCGCTCCAAGAAGAGCTGACCAGGGCAGGATGTGATCTCATTCGGTCGGAATTCTCTTGCCGTACATTAATTTTAGCGATTAGCTGGTAGGTAGTTTATTTTTTCCTGTTTTTCTGGTTTGTTTTCCGGGTCCCCTTCGGGGTTTTTGACACTCTTTAATGTCGTCGATTTTTTGACAGTTTATACTTGGGGTGAGAGCGTGGATGTTGTGGTCCACGACGACGTTGCTGTCGCGTCGGTTTTTGGAGACTTGGTCCACACGTTGCTTGCCGACGTCTTTCAGATGAGGTCAATGGTCGATGCCCCTTCGTTTTTTCGAGACTTCAACATGGAGTGATTTTGGATATATGGTCGACACACCTTTGGAAGATATGGTCAGTGGTCAAATGGTCAACGCCCCTTTCGGACGAGGTTAATTGTCAATGTCCATGTTAAGTTAGCGCTGCGAGAAGAAAGAGCTTTTTTTTTTTGAAAGATGAGCGATGCCCAGGATTTCATTAATTTCGGTGATTAAGAAGATGGTCGTTGATTCTTCCGGCCTTTTTTTTTTTTAGTTCCATTCCATTTGTGAGTTTTTCAAAGATGATAGGCGAGCTTTTATTAGTCTCGGTGATTAGGAGGATGGTCGTTCATTTTTCGAAAATGTTTTGGTTCTTTCTCGAAGATGAGCGATGAGCTTTGAGCCTTTGACAAATTTCGGTGAGCCTTTTTTTTTCTTTTTCTTTTTTCCTCCCCCTTTCTTTTCCGAGATTTTATTTGAAGTGATGTTGGATGTGGTCAACATCTTTCGGGCGGGGTCAATGGTCAACGCCCCCTTTGCTGTACGATACTTGACTTGGGGTGATTGAAGGGTCAATGGTCAACGCCCCCTTTGCTTACGATACTTAACTTGGGGTGATTGAATGTAGTCAACGACACCTTGTTGACCAGACACCTTTCGAATGTGGTCACTTTTAACTCCCCCTTGTTGATTCAATCACTTGGGGTGATTTGGGGTGATCGAATGTGATCCAATCCAATCAACAAGGTGTCGTCGAGACCTTGTTGACCGGAGTCGTCCGACACCTTTAGGATATGGTCACTGGGCGACGCCCTTTTTTGGTCAGCGCTCCGAGAAGACCAGGTCCTTTAAATTTTCATAAAACGAGCTATGGGTGCATTGCATTTCAAGTCGATCACGTACTGGCAGGATCGCACTGCCTGGCAGCTCGTTTCTCCTCTCCATTAAATGTAGTTATTAGGTCCTTTCGACAGTTACAGTAGTTTCGGAGTTTTTTTTTTTTTTTTTTAAATATAATTTCGGAGGTTTTTCGAATTCGAGCAATGAGCTCATTCCGATGCTGCCATCAAGTGGGCTTTTTATTTTTTTATTTTTTTTTTCGGAGTTTCTTCACAGTCGACCAATGAGCTCATTCCGATGCTTCCATCAAGTGGGCTCTCTGTTCCGAATCTTTTTTTTTAGTTAATTTAGTCAGTAGGCGGTGGAACTCGTTTCTTCTTTTTCGGATTTTCTTTTTTTTTTTTTGCGGTTTTTCTTGTTTTTCGATTGCCGGGGCCTGGCGCGGGGTGAAGTTCGGTGAAACAGATTTTCTCTGGGAATTCTTGTTGTTTTTTTTGTTCGGATTTTACAACAAGTTAACGAGGATGCGGATTGCCACTCGTTCGTTGCCGATGGTGGCCTTTTTTGTTTCTCAGAAGAATTTGTTTTTTTTAGTTGCTGGCTACTACGTAGCTGCAGATGGTGACACTCGACACTGAGTCCACAGTCGAATAGGATAGGATCTCGACAACGAAGTCGACAGCGGATTATCTATCGCTGCAGCTTTCTTTGGCAAGTCGATATGCAGTGCGTTATGTGTATGTGACATGGCATCAAATCGATCTGGAGTGAAGTATACGACGACAATTTGAAATCGATTTGCAGTGACGAATTATACGACGTTGCATGCAATCGATATGAAGCGCGCGAGCGATCTGCATGGCATCGTACTGTTCTTTTCAATTTTCAGTTTGACGACGATTCGACGAACGATGTCGGTGCTGTCAGTTGTTCGAGTCTTAGCATGGACACGTCCATCATGAACATCAAATCGATCTGTTCGGTGAATCGAATCGTAGGACGCACGTCCATCAACATCAAATCGATAGATATTTGCACTGATGAATTGTACGACGGGCCGACGGCACGACGATGTCGGTCGGTGTTCTCAGTTGTGTTTTGAGTCTTAGGTCGCACGTCCATCACGTTGATCACATCACATCAAATCGATACGTGCAGCAATGGAGTGAACGACGGCACATGCAATCGATATGTGCAGTGAATTGTACGACGTACGTCATATTAAATTTTGAAATGCCGTGAAGAATTTAGGACATGAGACGGAGAGGTTTCTCTTTTCAATTTTGAGATGCTGACGTTTTTTAGGTGTTCACGTTTTTTTCTGAGTTGACGTCACGGTTGACGACGCACATGCTGTGTTTCGGGTGCATGCATTGAAACGCAGCCGGGATCGGGACTCGGTTGTTTGGACTGGGGAACCAGGGGAAGGCGGAGAAGAGAGAGCCCACAGGTCGGGATTGCTTTCGAATCGCAGGGCCCGCTTCGAAGATATCTTGTTTCGTTTGGAGTTCCACGAGTTGTGCAAGAATAAGTAAACAGAGTAGTGGTTTGTTGGCTCTGCCGCTTGTTGCTGGGTGAAAGACCCACGTACCTGCACTGGGTAATGGTCTCAGTATGTGACGATGTCTCATCCGGGTTGTTTGTGAGGAATTCCCGGCCTCATGTTTCATGATAACAATGGATTCCTTGCTTTTTCACCGGAAAAAAAATAAAAAAGTTAACATTTCGTTTGGAGTTGTGCAAGAGGCTTAAGTGACATTGTAGTAGGACGTCGTTAGCGCTAAGAGCAACTTGTCGTGAGCCGTGGACATGGTTGTGATAGGTAGCGTGGGCGTGGGAATGAGTGGCGGCGGGTTTCATTTCGTATCGCGGGCCACAAGGATGACGTCATCTTTTGCTTCGTTTGGAGCTGTGCAGGAAATTTTGCCTCTCGATGTCGTCCTTTGTGCTGAGAGTGGAATTGTAGTGATTTGTGGATGGATATGGTTGTGCTGGTGTCTAATGAATGGCCTTTTTTTTTTTAGCGGGGGGAGGGGGGGGCGTGGGGGCGGATGGGGATAAACGTACGATAAAGGGCCGTGGGCTAGAAATGGATGGTGTTAGTTTGTCAAATGCTCAAGCAGCTGCTACTTTAGCTTCACATAAATTGTGTTTGTCCACCAAGTTTGTTCAATGGTCGTAATTAGCTCAGAGTCGATCAATGCAAAAGACAAAAACAAATAAACAGTAGTAAAAAAGAAAGGCAAAAAAAAAAAAAAAAAAAAAGAAGGCTCGAAGAGTGTGATTACTGTTGGATTAGGCCCATACCGAAGGTCATCTCGGGATCCTGCAGAGGTTGATTGATGAAAGAAATTCACCCTGCAGGTCGATTGATTAAAGAAATTCAAAAAAATGAAGGGTAAAATTAATTATGGGCAAGTTTCAAAAATAGCGCGTCGCCTCGGGGCTGTGGGCTAAATCCTCGTCGGCACACTGTCAGCCCTTTCGGGAGCCTGAAAAAAATGATGAAGGGGTTATTTGTCTGTTTTTTTCGGGGACTTGGGGCTAAGGCCCTAGTTGAACCACTGGCCATCCTGGCGTCCGGCAACATTTTGAATGCGCCTGGACAACGGCGTTGTCCAGATGCATTCAAAATATTGGTGGATCATGATCCCGTATGCCGTGGTTATCTGGGGTTGCGGCAGCTGGATTTCGGTGAAATAAGACGTAAAAATTTAATGGGGTTGGGGCAGTGTGGGCTATATTACTCCCGGGGCGAGGTCCCACTAGCAACATGGATTGGATTGAACGGCTGAATCTTAGACGTGTTCCTGGAAAAATGCAGAAATTCGAGATTGAACAGCTTTTTCTGCATCTCTGCCTAAAACACGTCCAGATTCAGGATCTAAATCCAATCTTCTTTGCTAATGGGACGATGCTCCCGGTCAGTCCTTGGAATAACTTCAAAAAACAAAAGTTACCAAAACAGAATCTGTGGGCTAAGGGTCTCGCCGCACGGCACACGAAACGAAAACGAGACGAGTGCATCTGCCCACGAAAGGTGGCAAAATACACTCGTTACTATTTATAGCAAACCGATGAACCTGGCCATTTTCTGCAGGAAGGTGCACTCGTTTCGTAACTTTCTTTTGTCGTTTCGTGTCCCGTGGGGCGACGCCGTGAGTCTTCGTGACAGGCAAAAATTTGGACCATTTCTCGATTTATGCGTGTCATCCTTCCGCAGGGCCATGCTAATCTGGGCCCTGTTAATAAAAGTGGAATTTCGGGGGGGATGATAATAATAATAACAATAATAATAATAATAAAAGAAATCTTCGTGACAGCCCTTCCGGATTCACGAGACATTCGCGGGTTGTTAATCTCCTGGAAATTGGAAAAAGAAGGTGCAAAATTAATTGGAGCGGGCTGGGGTTAACTTAGGGGTTATTAAGTTATAACTCTGCCGCAGTCCTTCCCGAGACAGCCGTTGAAACTGGAACGATACAGAAGAGGAGATTAGCATGGCCCCTGCGCAAGGATGACGCGCATAGGGAAAAAAAAGAAAAGAAAAAAAACGAGGGAAAAGATAAACTCCGCCGTACCGAGGAGGTCAACGTGCATGCGAGCCGGTGGGTGATTAGCCCACGAGGCGGAATAAACCTGCGTGGCGGGAACCCTCTGCGGGTGCACCGTCCGCCAACCACGATCTGCTGTGAGAGGTTCCGAGTGTGAGCATGCCCGTTGGGACCCGAAAGATGGTGATCGAAAAAAAAAAAAGAAAAAAAAAAGGACATCGTTACCTGGAGATGCCAAGGTGGATACGTGAAATAAGAACGAAGTTTGGGCATATTCTCGCACTACCTGTAGGGGCTTTTTTTGGACTTACGTATAGACGCATTTACGGTCAGATGCATCCAAGCATTGCGCGATTACGGTTGGATACATTTGAGATTGTGCTAGTGCTTTTGATGGGGCAAAAGAGATTTCCGTGTACTATTTTGCTGTGAGCTGAAGTCTTGGCCGATGGCCACGGTCAGGGCGTACTTCACACTAGAGTGGCTAGATCTCTCTCAAAGGTATCTGACCTCGTTTACGTCCGCACCTGGAGGCATCTGTCCGCATTTCCGTCCCGAAGTAAGGAAAAAAGTCCCTCCCCCAGTCTTTCGGGTTATCCGCTAAAATTTGGAGCGGTAAAGAAGATTAGCAGGCCCGAGGATAGTCAGGGCGTACTCACTCTAGCACACTCTTAAACGTAAATGACCGCATTTACGGCTGCACCTAGATGCATCTGGCCGCCTTTCCGTCCCGAAACAAGTAAAACAGTCCCTGCCGGTAGTAGTGTGAGCATGCCCTCAGTCTGTCGGATATCCGCAAAAATTGGAAGGATAAAGATGAAGATTAGCAGGCCCGTAGGGATCATCATACTAAGTGAATTTTTTATTTATTTATTTTTTTATTATTTTTTTTTTTTAATACTACGTGATTTGAGTTCATTGGATTCGTATTTTGACAGTATGGGCTCCCGGGTGAGTCGTGTAGTTGCTGTCGATGATTGAATTTCTATGAAGTAGCTTATCTACCGAGGATGCCACCTCGAGAAAACGACGAGAAAAATGGTTAAAAAACACAAAGCAACGTCTCATGCTTATCTACCGAGGATGCCACCTCGAGAAAACGACGAGACATGGTTAAAAAAAAAAAAAAAACGGAAGGTAGAAAACACAAAGCAACGCCCCATGCTATATCTCATTGAAAACAACTAGTCACTCCTGAGAGAAGAGGCTGCTGCTCTCAAAATCTCAACTCCCAAAGAACACCCACCATGATCTCATTCTGACGGCGTACTCACTCCGGGACGTTTGACCGAGTTCTGGACGGAATTGCGGGCCAGATGCATCCAGGTCAGTGGCCGTAATTGCCCTCCGTCCTTTCGTTTTTATCTACTTATTTATTTATTTATATTATTTTTTAAGCTGAACATTTCATTACATTTTAACATTGAGACCAGGCCGGGGACCCCGCAATTCAACCCCTACCTTCTTCCCCCGAATACAACGTATGGTCCTTATAGCTGTATTTGAGCCATCTTTCAGTCTACATACAGACAGCTATAATGACCGTACGTTGTATTCGGGGGAAGAAGGTAGTTATCTCGGCACTCCCGGCGTCATCAGCGCGGTTTAGCTTGTGGGTCACTCTCTCTCTCTTTTTTTTCTTTTCTTTTTTTTTCTTTCTTGTTTTTTTTTTAACATGCCCCCGCCAGTGTTAGTGGTGCTGATAAGAGCAGACACCACTAGCACTTGCGGAGAGGCTCCATCTATTGGTGGGGAGCATCACCTACTGGAAACCGGTCCAGCGTCCCTTATACACAGAACGAATCGGGAACACGTCAGGAAAATGAATATAACTGAGAAAGACACCTGCCAGCATTGATTACTCTGTCTTCCAGAGGATTGACTGTGCAGGTTGTTGGGAACAGGAGCTACGTCTTCGCCCTGTACAAGGGGCCAAAATTGGCCAAATACCTTGTGGGTCACTCTCATCAGACACAGTATCAGAGTCATCACTGGCTGAGCAGGGGGAGAGAGAGCTAAACTGAAGCTACCACGTAGCACACCACCTTCTTTCGCTTGCCGTCTTGGACTACCAACTTGAAAAGCCATCACGGAGAAGCAGGGTTTTTTTTGTTTTTTTTTTTTTTTTTTTTTTTAGAGGAGTTTTTGTTGCTGTAAAGCCTGTGAAAAGTCTCAAGGTTGGCGAAACTGTGGGGCTGCGACGAGTTTCACTCTTTAGTTTAAAATAGGCAAAATAGACAAGTCGAAGTGGCGCCCGTGTCATGCATGGTATGCGTGCTAGGTTGGAAATGTGTATGATGAGTTTAGAGGGGGTCTGAAACTGAAACTGCGCTGCGCTGAGTTTAGAGTGGCGTCTGAAACTGAAACTGCCCTGCGGGCCTGCGGCAGTCTTCATACCCCCGAGTGGAGCGTGGATGGATTTTTCTAGCGTGGTGGTGGCCTTCTTTGCTCCATGATTTCCGGACCTGCTAAAAAAAAAAGAACAAAAGGCAAATTTTTTTTCCTCTTTTTTTCTTTTTCTTTTTTTTTGTCTTGGGAGAGTTCTTACCAATTCCCCAAGATGCGAGGCTCAGCCTGTGCTCTGAAGAACTTGTAGAATAGCGGTCGATTCAGTGTCGAAACCTACGGTCTTCAGCGGAATAGAACGTAGGGTCATTATATCTGAATTTCGGGTATCTTTCATTCTAAATGCAGCAATAATGACCGTATGCGTTGTATTCGGGGGTAGACTGAAGCGAGCTAACCTGCCCCCAGGCTGCCAGTGGAAGAGGTAGGTAGGTGTTACTCTCAGAACTAAGAGTAATTATGGGCCTCACTGCACTACTCTTGAAATGTGCAAAACGAGAGTGAATCTTCCGCAAGAACATTGAAATATACACCGCCAATATTTTTGTCTTTTCTGCATGTCGAGAGGAGTGCAGCGAGGCCCTATATCTGATAAGTGGGAATTCCCCAGATTATGACAAAGGAAATGAGATAATGAGCTTGCAGCCTTGCAGTTGAGCTATCCTACTTTTCTCAGACTGGGACTAGCACGGGGCGCAGAGGATGGAGACTCGTAGAGTCCAGTACCTACTAACACTCTCCTTACGACGAGGAGACTCATAGAGTCCAGTACCTACTAACACTCTCCTTACGAAGAAAAAAGTGCCTAACGGGCAAAAACAATTGGAATAAGTGTTTGAATGTGGACGTGTTTGATAAAGAGGTGCAAAAGACTGTAATTGATCTGCTTTTCTGCATCTCTGCGTGGAAGCATGTCCTGATTCAGACACTTGTTCCAATCCTCTTTGCCAGTGGGATCTGGCCCTAATTGCTAGTATTCCCTGATCTCCTACAAACTTCTTGCAAAAGTCCTAGCCATACGACTATCTTCTTCCCCCGAATACAACGTACGGTCATTATAGCTGTATCTGGACTGAAAGAGGCCTCAAATACAGCTATAATGACCGTCCGTTGTATTCGGGGGAAGAAGGTAGCTAGATACCTGCCTAAGTTAGTTGGAAAAGAGCAAGGGGCCTTCGTTAAGCATG